AAAAAAAAAAAAAAAAAAAAAACCACAAGACCCATCTGTATGTTGCCTTCACAAGACTCACTTCAAGACAAAAGGACACACAGACTGAAAGTGAAGGGATGGAAAAATTTTCCATGGAAATGGAAACCAAAAGAAAGCTGGGATAGCTATACTTGTATTAACAAAAAAAAAACCAGACTTTAAGATAAAGACTGTGATCAGAGACAAAGTCATTATATAATTCTAAAAGAGCCAATCCAATAAGAAGACCTAATATAGGAGTACTTAACTATATAAAGCAAATATTAGCAGACCTAAAGGGGAAAATAGACAGCAATATAATAACAGTAATGGGATTTAATATTCCATTTTCACCAATGGATCGATCAGACAGAAAATTACTAAGAAGACACTGACCTTAAACGACACCTTAGACCAGCTGTACTTAATAAACACAGAGCATTTCATCCAACAGCAGCAGAATATACATTTTCTTCAAGTGCACATGGAACATTCTCCAGGATAAATTTTATGTCATGCCACAAAATGAGTCTTAATAAGTTTACAAAGCTGAAATCATATTGACCATCTTTTCCAACAATGGTGGTATAAAACTAGAAATCAATTACTAGAAGAAAATTGGAAAATTCACAAATATTCAGATGTGAATCAACATGCTACTGAACAATCAGTGGCTCAAAAGAGAAAAATCAAAACCTTGAAACGAATGAAATAAAAACACAACATAGCAAAACTTATGGGATGCAGCAAAAGCTATTCTAAGAAGTTCATAGGGATAAATGCCAACACTAAGAAACTGAGATCTCACAGAATTGTTGAATAATTATATTTTACACCTGAAACTAATATAACACTGTATGTTTACTGGAATTAAAATTTTAAAAAATCTAAAATAACCTAACTTTACACCTCAACTTAGTTTGTTCTCAACTTAGGGGAAAAGAACAAACTAAGCCCAAAGTTATTAGAAGGAAGGAACAAAGATCAGAGAAGAAATAATTGAAATAAAAACTAAAAAGACAATAAAAAGATCAACAAAACTAAGAGCTGTTTTTTTGAAAAGATAAACCTTTAGCTAGACTCACCAAGAAAAAGAGAGCAAGAACTCAGAAATGAAAGGGATGTTGCAACTGATACCACAGAAATGCAAAGGATCATAAAAGACTAAACAATTGTACATCAAAAAATTAGACAACCTAGGTGATCATTAAATCCATAGAAACATACACCTACCAAGACTGAATCATGAAAAAAAATAGAAAATCTGAACAGACCTTTTACTACTAACTAATAAAAAATATGCCAGTAATCTCCTAATTTAAACAAAAGCTCAAGACCAGATAGCTTCACTGGTGAATTCTACCAAACATTTAAAGAAGAGTTAATACCAGTCCTCTTCAAACTCTTCCAAAAAACAGAAGAGGAGATAACTCTCAAATTCATTTTACAAGGCCAGCATTACCCCAATAGCAAAACCAACAATACTACAAGAAAATTACAAGCCTATATACTTGATGAACACAGATGCAAAAATCCTCAACAAAGTATTAGCAGACCAACTTCAACAATACATTCAAAGGACCTTGATGAAGTGATTTATTCCAGGGATGCAAAGGTGGCTCAGCATCCACAAATCAATCAACATGATATACCACATTAACAAAATGAGAGATAAAAATAATATCCCAATAGATGAAGAAAAAAAAATTAACAAAATTTAACATCCGTTTAGAAAAACTAACAACAAAGTGGGTATAGAGGGGAATGTACCTCAACATAATAGAAGCCATATATGAAAGGCCTACAGCTAACCTCATAATCAACAGTAGAAGCTTTTCTACTAAGATCAGGAACAAGACAAGGACACCTACCCTCACCACTTTTTTTCAACATAGTACTGGAAGTCCAGAGCAGTTTGGTAAGAAAAATAAAAAGCATGCAAAACAGAAAGGAAGAGGTAAAACCCTCACTTATTTGCAAGTCACAATACTACATATAGAAAACCCTAAGGACTCTATCAAGAAACTGTTACAACTAATAAATTCAGTAAAGTTGCAGGATACAAAATCAATATACAAAAATCTGTTGTATTTCTCTAGTCTAATAGCAAACTATCAGAAGGAGAAATTAAGAAAACAATCCCATTTAAAACTGCATTATTGACAAGAGTAAAATACCTAGGAATAAATTTCACCATGGAAGTGAGAAAGACTTGTACACAGAAAAATATAAACCTTTGATAAAAGAAATTAAAAGCACAAATAAATGAAGATAATCCATTAATTAGAAAAATTAATATTGTTAAATAGTCCATACAACTCCAATCTACACAGTGCGATACCTATCAAAATTCCAACAGTGTTTTTCACAGAGAACAAACAACCCTAAAATTTGTATGCATCCACAAAAGACCCTGAATAGCCATCTGAGAAAGAAGAACAAAGCTTCCTGATTTCAAACTATACTTCAAAGGTATAGTAAACAAAACAGTAGGATATTGGCATAAAAACAAACACATACATCAATTGAACAGAATAGAGAGCCCAGAAATAAGTTTAGGCATATATGGTCAATTCATTTATGTCAAAGGAGCCAAGAGTATACATGGGAAAGGACAGTCTCTTCAATAAATGGTGCTGAGCAAACTGGACCACTGTCTTATATCATACACAAAAATTAAAATGGATTAAAAACTTGAATATGCAACTTGAAATCATAAAGCCCCTAGAAGAAAACATAGGTGGTAAGCTCCTTGACATCAGTCTTGGCAATTATTTTTTTGGATTTGATACCAAAAAGCAAAGGCAACAAAAGAAAAAATAAGACAGGTGGGACTACATCAAGCTAAAAAGCTCTGCACAGCAAAATCATCAATAAAATGAAAGGGCAACCTATCGAATGGGAGACAATATTTCCAAATCATATATCTGGTAAGGGGTTAATAGCCAAAATATATAAGGGATTCCTACAACACAACAGCAAAAAACAAACATACAGGGGCGCCTGGGTGGCGCAGTCGGTTAAGCGTCCGACTTCAGCCAGGTCACAATCTCGCGGTCCGGGAGTTCGAGCCCCGCGTCAGGCTCTGGGCGGATGGCTCGGAGCCTGGAGCCTGTTTCCGATTCTGTGTCTCCCTCTCTCTCTGCTCCTCCCCCGTTCATGCTCTGTCTCTGTCT